TTTTTTTTCAATTTTACAGAAAAAGGGGGGGGAGAAGCATGATATTTCATACATATACATATACACACACATATACACACATATACATATACATACATTTAAATATATACATATACATACATACATATAAATACACACACATATGTATGCCCACCCATATATACACATATACCTACACACATTTAATAGAACGTTTAAAAAGCTCTCAACCAATTTTATTCTTTTTTTTCTTTTGCATAAGTCAAAATTGTAAATTGTAAAGGGAAAAACAACACCAATTTCATCGTTATTTACTGCTTGTATGTTTATCTCAGCAGTAAACCTCATTTTTTCATTCTGATGAAACTACTGTTTTATTAGAAATGTTAACAACTTTGTATTTTTAAATAAACATTTAAACTACACTACACATTGACAAATCAATCTATTTCTTAATAATTAAAATTAAACTTGCCTCATAGCTTCTACAATACAAGAATAAGTATACAAACTATAAAAAATGTATGTATAAAATATTGCATAATTAATTCAACGTATAACAAGGGATAATTATTATATCAAAGTTAATATTCATCGTTAGGCTATCAACATTTTTGATTTTTAGCGCCCCCGCCCCCCCCCCACCCAATATTTTGGTCCACTTTCCACAAATTCGCACCCACCCAATACAAATCCTGCGTACGGGATTGTCCTGGTATCTTTAATTAAATCGAACTGACAAAATACATTGAAATGTCTTAAATTAACTTAAATTATAATACAGTACTTAATTTCAATAAATTATCTTGAAAAGAATGACAGTGTTGTAATTATAAGCAGTAGGCTTAATATTGCTTAGTTTTTTCATGGAGAAATTTTTCTCCATGGTTTTATCTAGGCCTACTAACAAAGCAAAGATAATTTCCCTGTCGTACTTTAGCTTTAATTGGTATTAGGCCTATAAGCAGATGATAATCAACAGTTTTGCTAGTATAGGCATATGATAATGTATGTTCATGAAGGAATATGTTTTGTTTATTATGTGACAACCACAACCAACAACCTGGCTAATCATATCTGGCTATGATTGACAACCGAGTAACTTGTCAATGTAAACTTTTGTGACAGACAGAACAAATTTAATAAAATTTCAAGTAAACAATAAACAAATTATTCTTATCTCTCAAAAATTAGGAACACAAAGAAATGAAAATGATTGTTCAAACAAATGAAACATTCATAGGCAAATCAACGGAATTTTCTTTATATCTCATTAGACAAAAGTTATTGTTTGGATGAGATAATTCATATCTATATGTTTAAACTTAAATTATAATACAGTACTTAATTTGAATAAATTATCTTGAAAAGAATGACAGTGTTGTAATTATAAGCAGTAGGCTTAATATTGCTTAGTTTTTTCATGGAGGAATTTTTCTCCATGGTTTTATCTAGGCCTACTAACAAAGCCAAGATAATTTCCCTGTCGTACTTTAGCTTTAATTGGTATTAGGCCTATAAGCAGATGATAATCAACAGTTTTGCTAGTATAGGCATATGATAATGTATGTTCATGAAGGAATATGTTTTGTATATTATGTCACAACCACAACCAACAACCTGGCTAATCATATCTGGCTATGATTGACAACCAAGTAACTTGTCAATGTAAACTTTTGTGACAGACAGAACAAATTTAATAAAATCTCAAGTAAACAATAAACAAATTATTCTTATCTCTCAAAAATTAGGAACACAAAGAACTGAAAATGATTGTTCAAACAAATGAAACATTCATAGGCAAATCAACGGAATTTTCTTTATATCTCATTAGACAAAAGTTATTGTTTGGATGAGATAATTCATATCTATATGTTTAAACTTAAATTATAATACAGTACTTAATTTGAATAAATTATCTTGAAAAGAATGACAGTGTTGTAATTATAAGCAGTAGGCTTAATATTGCTTAGTTTTTTCATGGAGGAATTTTTCTCCATGGTTTTATCTAGGCCTACTAACAAAGCCAAGATAATTTCCCTGTCGTACTTTAGCTTTAATTGGTATTAGGCCTATAAGCAGATGATAATCAACAGTTTTGCTAGTATATGCATATGATAATGTATGTTCATGAAGGAATATGTTTTATTTATTATGTCACAACCACAACCAACAACCTGGCTAATCATATCTGGCTATGATTGACAACCGAGTAACTTGTCAATGTAAACTTTTGTGACAGACAGAACAAATTTAATAAAATCTCAAGTAAACAATAAACAAATTATTCTTATCTCTCAAAAATTAGGAACACAAAGAACTGAAAATGATTGTTCAAACAAATGAAACATTCATAGGCAAATCAACGGAATTTTCTTTATATCTCATTAGACAAAAGTTATTGTTTGGATGAGATAATTCGTATCTATATGGATCTCAACTAAAGTAGGCCTGTCCCAATTGTTTGAACAATCAGACATCTCGGGTACTGTTTTCCGAAAGTGACAGTTACTGTATGTTCAATGCCGCCAGGATTTTCAAACAATATGGGACAGTATCAGGCTGGACCCACTTTACGCGTGCATTCAAATAATGAGAACCCAATTTCTTAAGAAAGTTGTCCATTTTACGTAAAATTAATATGAATAATCTAGGCCAATTTCCTAAAATATTGACCCATTTTACGCAAAATATGAGAAATCTGGACCTATTTTCTTTAAAGTTTACCCTTTTTACACAAAGTATGGGAAATCTGGACCCATTTGTAAAATGTGGACTCATTCTTTGTGGACCCAATAGAAAAATTGTGTGGGACTGTCCCAGCTGTCCCAATAACTGGCTACGGCATTGTGTATGTTACCAATTTTATCAATAATAATAATACTAGAAAGCATTAATTTATCATTGAGTGTTAGCATACAAAGATAATATTTCAGTACAGGGAGGCCAATAGGAATTTGATGCACAATATCAGCTCTTAAGTTCCTACTCTAATCTGTCCCATAAATTGCTAACCAACAAATAAACATTGACAACTGGAATATTTATAAATTACGCATGTACTTATTTGTATCGCCGATTTTATCAACGGCAAAGTGTGTCGACTTTCAGAGTCAACGTAACTTCCATTGACACAGAGAGGATCAGGAACGCAAAGGGGACAATTATTTCAAGTTCCTCTTTGATCGTCAACTTTCAGTGTTCTTGAGCAATAGTTCTTGAAGTCGGCGAACACGAAATAGTCGGCAAGGAAACTTGATCTTAAACATAACTGTTTGGACAGTTCGAGCGGAAAGTTGTATATGGGTCCAGCAAAATACAGCTAATGCCATTTAGAAATAAGGCATGAGCCGAGTGTACGTATTTCAAAGATCCAGTACCAAAAAAACAAAAACAAAACAAAAGACGAACTTGACAAGACTGCCTGTCACGGGATTAGCAGCTCTTCTTCGACGTGCTCAGAACGCTGCTGCGAAAATCATAACTCGTACTAAAAACACAAACACATCACTCCAGTACTACGAAGTCTGCACTGGTTACCTATTCAATCCTGCATTAAATTCAAATTGCTCCTCATAACCTACAAGGCCATCAGTGAACTTGCACCTTAGTATATTACCGATCTTCTTAAGGCCAACTCAGACAGCGTCGGCCGACGCAGCCCGACCCGACTTATCGTCGGGGGACAGTCTTAAGCCGTCGTGAGAAATATTTTTTGATTTGTTGTCGCGTCGCGTCTGCGTTCAACTCACGCAGACCCGACGCGACAACAAATCGCGTCGGGCTGAGTCGGCCGACGCTGTCTGAGTTGGCCTTTAGACATCACACTTCCTCCCGTACACTGCTTTGAGTCACAAATTTCTCCTTCATATCCCTAAATGGAAGCTCAAGTCATGTCATCGTACATTCTCTTGTGCAGCACCAACTTTATGGAATACCGGTACTTTACCAATAGACATTAAAACTTCATAAAGCGTCAACATTTTCAAAAAAACGTCTGAAAGCCTACTTGTTCTCGGAAGCATTTTAAATTTAACTTTGTCGAGCGCCTTTGAACATATTAATAGATAACGGCGCTATATAAATGCATTTGATTAATTGATTGAAAACTTTCCCCCAATCATCTTTACTTGAACTGATGACCTCCTTAATCTGTTGGCAAAAACCCTTTTCCCATAATCAGAGAAGCGACCAGTAATTTCCAAACCGCCATCAAACGTTTCCAGCGGTTGCGGTTGATTGACTCTTGGAAGTATTAAATTTCCAGTAGATCTAGGTAAACTACATTAAATTATTTGTCTAGTTATACGAAAAGATTGCCATATTTTTGATTGACGAAAAATCCTACGGGCTTCTAATCGCCGAAGAGTGAACAAATTGCCAATTAAGTATGAGAATCGAGGTCTGCGTTGTTGGGCTATTGGATTTATTTATGTCTTGGTTTATAAACAATAATATTAAACGAAAACCGCCTTATTGACTAAATACAAACTTCTTGTTTTTGTTTTTTTTATCCCAATAGAAGATCTCTTTTTTTTTTTCATAATTGAATTATCAAATAACCTTCATATTACATTTGCTGTATTTTTAATAGTCTCAAAACAAGTGTCATAAAATTGGGGGTCTTGTTTATTGAATTTTCCGGTATCAGATCTTCGTTATATTACCCATGATCATATAGACTTCAATGGAGTTTCAATATCTTTTAATTATTGTTAAGAATGAAATCGGTATTAAATGTTTAGTATTTACCACAATCAAGTTTGTGTCGTTTTATTATAGTCTGGGAACTGTTAATAATTAATGTACTGAAAGGATAGTAAGCAACAAATGCAACATTAGCATAGTTTTCAAAATAAAATCCCACTTCCTTGACTATATGCATGTATCTTGAACCTTTATCTATTCCAATCTTTGCAAAGTTACAAATAGATTATTTGTTATATACCGTGTCTTTAAACATCAAATCAGCTAAAAACATTTCCTTGTTTGATAAAATACATTTTTTTTCGAAGCTTTGGCAAAAGTACTGTTGTTTTAAACCTACTGCAGACGTGTGCGGACGAAATTGATTACACAGTGATGTATCTAATAGGCTTGTTTTTTATTGTGATGTCTTCAGAAGCACAATGTAAGCTATATTATCTTTTTGTTTTCCAAGTTCCAATCATTCATTAGTAAAGTGATTCTACTTGCAATGTTTTAAGAATCTGAATTTATATGGCGCCTTCACTTTCTAGAGAATATACAAAGGTGTACTGGCATCAGTAGGCCAATTTCCCTGGTCACTGGACACTTAGTTGGCAAACGAGCACAATTTTGTACAACTTTCTCTTCTACCTGAAAAGTATCCCTACTATTTTGTAATACGGATACTTTACACGCATAATTTGTATTACGGATAATTTACACGCATAACGTTCAATGCCACACTACACAGGTACCCATTTTTACTCCTGGATGGAGAAAGGCAAACGTAAAAGTGCCTTGCCCAAAACACAAGCAATGCAATGAGCGTCGGTCTCAAACTCCCAATTTCACGAACAGATGTCCAACACCATTTAGAGTGAGAGATGAGTGGATTTAGTGCACATATTTTACCATATGTCTTAATATGATTTGTGTATGGGAGAGACATGGATCTTTAGGCGATGTGAGCAGTGCGCTTTGAGATCAGAGGTCAATGACCTTTGTTGACTACGTTTGACCAATATCTATATTTTAGGGCACAGTAGTATTTGATAACATGCATCAACATTATTTGAATTAGGCTCATTTTTAAGATGAGAGATCATCTGAAAATGTAATTTCCTAGCTGTAGGTAAGCATTTCATCCAAGCATGCTGTTTGTTTCCTCCATGCTATCAATAACCTTAAGTTTATTTAATAGCTACAGATTTCAAATACATTCCCAACAGTCACGGTTTCGAATTAAAATAGATCATTAAATTAAATACTCACAAAAATGGCATAAATAAAGACTTTAGGATTTCAAAACGATTATAAGTTTATTAATTAATTTATTAAGGAAACTCTTTAACTTTTTATTTATTTGTTATTTTTTTATTTTTTAAGCAATTGAGATCATAGGCCTACAGTCGGCAGATTAGCTCTTTTATCTTTATTTTCTTTGTTGCAACCGCCCATTATAATCCGCCTTTAATTATAACTATCATTTTCGATTTATCCCAGTCACTGCTAAACTGTTTATTCCCGTTTGCTAGTTTGTAAAGATTTTTTAATCATACGTGTTATTGCTGAGAAAATAGCCGTTAACATAGTTAAATTATATATTAATCATCAAAGAAAGGTAAATACACACAATATAATATATATACATACACACACATATATATATACGCATACATATATACATATACATATATATAATATATATATATATATACATGTGTGCGTGTGTGTATGTGTGTGGGTGTGTGTGTACGATTAAGCTTACCCCCTTTCTCTCTCCTTTATTAATGATCGTAAGAAATATAGATGGGAGAATTTTTTTTGTTTTTTTGTAAGCATTGCTATGGGAGATAGTTTAGATAAAGGACTAATATTTTTTATAAATAATATATATATATATATATATATATATATATATATATATGTATATTGTTTAATATAGCTTCGGTAACAACTCAAGCCACAAGTAAGTTAACTAAATGTTACTATTTAAGCAATTTAATTAAATTAACAATATTATAAGTGATGGTAACTCTACACAATATTAATTTTTTTTTGTTGCATGCATTATATTTTTAAATATGTAGATGTTATGTTTTTACAGCCGTTAACAAATGTGCCTTAAACTTTTTTACTTTTTTATACAAAAAAAAATACAAAATGGCAAACAATTATTAATATACACAGTTTTTTTGTGAAAACAATGACAATAAATAGAACTTGGTAGCTTGAACACGAATTATACCATTAATATATTAGCCTGGTTCTCACGAGAGCCCTAGTATCCGGATCGGGAGCTAACCGTTAACGCTAACCGTTAGCACATGCGTGAGAACGCCCGATCGGTTAGCGCTAACCGTGATATTCGATCATCATATTGTTGGTATCCGGATCGGGATTTTCTCGCATGGACGCACGGCAGATAACGGTTAGCAGGATCCGGATCCTGCTAACCGTTAGCTGCCGTGTGAGAACATAGCCTACACTTATTTATCTTATAATATTACACTTTGGGCTATAATTAAATATTTAGTTAATTACTGGCCAATAAAAAACTAGAAATTGTAATCGCGTACGTGTGATTGTTTAATGATAAAAACGCGCTCAACTTGCTAACCGATAGCGCTTGCTAACCTTTAGCGGTGTCCGGATACTGCTAACGGTTAGGGCTAACCGATCGGGCGTTCTCACGCAGGTGCTAACGGTTAGCGCTAACGGTTAGCTCCCGATTCGGATACTAGGGCTCTCGTGAGAACCAGGCTAATGGTTATGTTCTCACACGGCAGCTAACGGTTGGATCCTGCTAACCGTTAGCTGCCGTGCGTCCATGCGAGAAAATCCCGATCCGGATACCAACAATATGATGATCGAATCACTGGCCAATAAGAAACTGGAAATTGCAAACGCGTACTTGTGATTGGTTGATTATAGAAACGCCCTCAACTTGCTAACCGATAGCGCTTGCTAACCGTTAGTGTATCCGGATACCGCTAACGGTTAGCGCTAACCGATCGGGCGTTCTCACGCAGGTGCTAACGGTTAGCGCTAACGGTTAGCTCCCGATCCGGATACTAGGGCTCTCGTGAGAACCAGGCTTAAGAAGTTCAAATGGGAAACTAATTTTCCGTACCATATGACATACCACGATGTTCAATCATCATCAATCAATGTGTTTGAATCGATATTAGGCCTACAGGAGATCATGGGGGAAGGGGTAAACGTCCAGGGATGGAGCCAGTATTTGCGAGACGGAGGGTCCGATGTCTCCGACGGGGAGGTTGATGTCCCCCCGCGAGAGGAAAAAATTCCTCGAGGAGAACAAAGTGGGCGTGGTCGAACGTCGCTTTAAATGCCTCGAAAGTGGTCTAGTGGGCGAAATCCCCTGAAATTTCGACAATTTACTAATATATACAAAATACGTAATTTTTTCCCCGACGAATTGTGGTTTTTCTCCCAGACCCGAGGGAGGGGGCGGGGAGCTCCACCCACTGGCGCCAACCCTGAAACGTCGCCTCACATCATTTTTAAGGGGGAAGGGTTGGTCCCCTCACTTTTCGAGAAGGTATGCCTGAAAATTGTTTACATAAATGCATAAATGACCCAGGTTTTAACGAAAGAGCGCAGATGTGTATAAGAGACAGTAGTAATACATTGTAAATAAAATTTTAAATCAAATTTAATAATTGTATTGTGTTTGTTTTTATTTATTTTTTTTTAATATAAAATTCATTTTTACTAGATTATGTTTAATTTGATATTTAATTATGTAGTTAAGTTGGGATTTATAAAGGTGGCTGGCACCTTTTTGTCAATCGCTTTGCGCATTCATTTCGTTCCTGATTTTGTACTTGTACTTTTGTACTATGTCCCCTACCATGATGCATCAGAGGACAAAATAATTAAGATTACCTTCTATCTTCAAAATACATATAAATAAAAAATGGGCTACTTTTTTTAAAGATTTTGATGAGTGCAAGCAGGTGATACCAAAGGTGTGCAGCCAAGGATGTATGGACAATGAAGGAGGTTACATTTGCTATTGCCAAGAGGGCTACAATCTTATAAACCACACATACTGTCGATCTATCGGCCCAGACCCAGTCGTCCTTTTTGCAGACCGTTCGTATGTAAGTGAATATCACCCAATTACAAAAAAACACCGAATTATTGCAAATAATCAAAGAAACGCTGTGGCTTTAGATTATGACATCAAGAAGATGAAGGTTTACTGGTCTGACGTGTATCTTAATCAGATATACCGTACTAATATAAATGGCTCTGGTGTACCAGAGGTTGTCATTACTGGGGCTCACACACCAGATGGAATATGTGTTGACTGGGTTTTCCGTAACATGTACTGGACTGATACGGGAACCAATGTCATTGAAGTTGCAAGCCTTGAGGATCCAAGCAAACGGACCACTCTCATTTCAGATAATTTAGATGAACCAAGAGCTATTACTATTGACCCAAGAATTGGGTAAGTTTAATGTTTTTTAAATTCTTGGCCGTAATATCTGTGGTATGTTTTAGGTAAATGTAAAGTATTCCTGGGGAGGATGCAGTTTGTGGGCTGTCTCTTATACACATGCAAAAGGTGCAAAGGGTGCGTCGCACCCCATAAATTGTATAAAGAAAAATAACTGTTGTGTTATAAATTATTGTTGATATACATTATTGGTAGGATTTTTAAGGTCCATGAGAGTGCAATTTCCATGCACCCAGGGGTCCATATTTTCAAATTTTTCGCACCTCAGCCCCAACCATGTTGGGGTTGAAGTGGTGGACTCTCATGTACCCATAGGCGCAGATCATGGGGGAAGGGGTAAACGTCCAGGGATGGAGCCAGTATTTGCGAGACGGAGGGTCCGATGTCTCCGACGGGGAGGTTGATGTCCCCCCGCGAGAGGAAAAAATTCCTCGAGGAGAACAAAGTGGGCGTGGTCGAACGTCGCTTTAAATGCCTCGAAAGTGGTCTAGTGGGCGAAATCCCCTGAAATTTCGACAATTTACTAATATATACAAAATACGTAATTTTTTCCCCGACGAATTGTGGTTTTTCTCCCAGACCCGAGGGAGGGGGCGGGGAGCTCCACCCACTGGCGCCAACCCTGAAACGTCGCCTCACATCATTTTTAAGGGGGAAGGGTTGGTCCCCTCACTTTTCGAGAAGGTATGCCTGAAAATTGTTTACATAAATGCATAAATGACCCAGGTTTTAACGAAAGAGCGCTTACAACCAGAGTACATCTGATTGTATAGCAAGATACCTGTATCTAGCCCACAAACATCTAAATTACCTATAATACTCGACTCGAGTGCTCGTGCCTTTCTTATAATTTGAGAAATATGAGAAAAAGTGTGCAGAAGTAGTATTTTCTATGGTACATCACAGCGATTAATTAGATCGATGATGATGAATTTTACATAAGAGTGTCATATCCGGCAGTCTAGAGGTACAATTTCCCCAAATTTTACCACCTCAACCCTAAATGTGGTGAAGCTGAGAGACGTGTGCACTCACAGTTTTGAAGTATGTAAAGTAACTACATCAAAAACAATGATTTTAAGTTTTATTTTCTACGGTAACGTTCATCAAATTAGATATCTATGGTTGCCGAAAATAGCTGATAAAAGATCATGAGAATTTGTTGGCGCTTTATTTTGACTATATTATAACGGTGATATGTTGTTGATGAATTTTACTATTTAAAAGTGTCATTTCTGATCATCTTGAGGTACTATTTCCTCAAAATTTCTCACCTCAGCCCCAGTCATGCCGGGGCTGAGGTGGCCACACGGCTTTGAGATAGGTCGAGTATATTAAATACATCAAAGAAAGTGTTTCTTTAGTTTAATTTTCTATGGTACATTGGATTGGATTGGATTTATTCGGTGTAAACACCAAGGATAGCCCACGAAAGTCTAGAAGAAGACTTATTTCCAGTGGGGTCCTTCTGGTGGTGATTGGGCAGTAAACCGGGAGACAATCCCATACTCTTTTCCGAAGAGTGTACTGCGTTCTTTAACGTGCACATGGGTCATAATGCACACGGGACCAACGGCTTAAAGGTCTCATCCGAAAGACGGTGCGCTATTGTAACTTGTATTTCAGCCCTCTAGCTGAAACACAAGGAGAGGCAGCGATAGGAATTGAACCGGGGACCTAGAGATCTCCACGGTTCAGCGCGCACACAGCGGCTACCACCAGATTTGCCGACTGAGCTAGCTGCTCATCACTCGAATTAATTAGATCTCTGTTGTTTTTGAAAATCCCTGATTTAAGATCATGAGTAATTTGCTGGCGCCTCATCTAGACTAAATAATGATGGTGTGATAATGGTGAATTTTACTGTATAAAAGTGTCATTTCCGGCCATTTAAATGTATTATTTCCTCTAATTTCTCACCTCGGTTGTGGACTAAAGTAAATACATCAAAGAGAATGTATTTAAGTTTAATGTGTACATAACACATACTTATTAGATCTCTGTGGTTGCCGAATATCGCTGATACTTTTGACTATATAATGGTGATGTGATGATGAAATTTACCATAAAAGTGTCATTTCCGGCCATCTACAGGTACTATTTCCTTAAATATTTGCACACACCCCTACCGCCAAATCCGGCATTCGCCCCAGTATTCGTAATGAAAATTAATTCTTGCTTTCATTTTTTCCCCACAGGTACATGTTCTGGTCCGATTGGGGCCAGGCAGCTAAGATTGAACGCGCGGGAATGAACGGAGAGCAAAGACTAGCCCTCGTTGATGCCGACATCTACTGGCCAAATGGTCTGACCACTGATCTTGTTAGTAAACTTCTCTTCTGGGTGGATGGTTTGAGACACAGCCTAAGTAGCATTGACTACAATGGTCATGGTAGAAGCACCATCCTCCAATCAAGTTCAATTTTGCCTCATCCATTCGGTATTACCGTGTTCGAAGATTATGTTTACTGGACAGACTGGCAGAAGAAAAGTATCATTAAAGCCAACAAATTCAATGGAAACCATACCATTTTAGTTGATAACCTTTCTCGACCTACAGGCATCCAAATATATCATCCTCAAAAACAAATTAACGGTAAGACTTTATTCCAAGTTATTCATGTTTTGTGATTTTTAATAATGATGGTGTGATAATGGTAAATTTTACTGTATAAAAGTGTCATTTCCGGCCATTTAAATGTATTATTTCCTCTAATTTCTCACCTCGGTTGTGGACTCACGACTTTGAAGCAGGTAAAGTAAATACACCAAAGAGAATGTTTTTAAGTTTAATGTGTACATAACACATACTTATTAGATCTCTGTGGTTGCCGAATATTGCTGATACTTTTGACTATATAATGGTGATGTGATGATGAAATTTACCATAAAAGTGTCATTTCCGGCCATCTACAGGTACTATTTCCTTAAATTTTTGCACACACCCCTACCGCCAAATCCTGCATTCGTCCCAGTATTCGTATTGAAAATTAATTCTTGCTTTCATTTTTTTCCCCACAGGTACATGTTCTGGTCCGATTGGGGCCAGGCAGCTAAGATTGAACGCGCAGGAATGAACGGAAAGCAAAGACTAACCCTCGTTGATGCCGACATCTACTGGCCAAATGGTCTGACCACTGATCTTGTTAGTAAACTTCTCTTCTGGGTGGATGGTTTGAGACACAGCCTAAGTAGCATTGACTACAATGGTCATGGTAGAAGCACCATCCTCCAATCAAGTTCAATTTTGCCTCATCCATTCTCTATTACCGTGTTCGAAGATTATGTTTACTGGACAGACTGGCAGAAGAAAAGTATCATTAAAGCCAACAAATTCAATGGAAACCATACCATATTGGTTGAACATCTTTATTCTCCAACTGGCATCCAAATATATCACCCTCAAAAACAAATCGACGGTAAGAATATATCCAAATTCTTTCATACCTGAAAGTAAAATATATATGAAAATTTGGAAATAATCTGTAGAGTTCGGTTAATTTGTTATGCTTCTCCTTGAACTTTAGGAATTAATAACCATTGTGAAGGTCATAACGGTGGATGCTCTGATCTGTGTGTAGCTGCCCCTGAAGTGAGCGATAATTCCGCTAAGTATTCCTGTCTGTGTCCTACAAACTCCTCCTTACTGGTAGATGGACGGACATGTGAGGGATCAGAAAAGAATCCACTAACACCAGGTTAAAATGAGATTATTGTTATTTGACCAACATAATTATCATATCAGGCTTACCATTATCATTTAACATTGCCACTCTCATTATAATGACCATGACCACTACGTCTAGTACCATTGGCATTACTTTCTAGGCCTAGACATCCACTACCACTATCATGGAGCAATGTTACTATAGTAGAACCCCTCTTTGAATGCCCCTATTGAGGGGTTACTTTTTTCGTGAAACGAGGGGAAATATATCTTTTAAAACTACGGCCAACCCATATTAAGGCGACAATCCTATTAATGGGACGAAAACAATATCATGCAAAATTGCCAAATCAACACACATAATTCCCCTATAAAGGACTATCTTTGTTTTTATCGTATCAGTTCAACTGACTAAAACCATTGTTTCATTCAAATACATATTATGACAACTTTTCATTTCTAAACTTACATTCAAAGCATATTATTTTTCTTGATACTTAATATGAACTTTGGTGTACGCCCACTGTGTGTTAGGCCTACTTCGTATTAAACCAATGTTGTCACTTTTAATCCATAATCAAAGCATTTTCTCCAATGTATTTTCATGGATTTCATCCAGTAATCTGCAATCTCCAGGCAAGTACCGTACTCTAATCACGCTCTGTACCTTGCGTACCGGTATATCCAATAGAACATTTATTTAAAAGTATTTGGTCATTAATTAATTTAATTAATTAACTTATATATATTATATATATATATAATATATATATATATATATACAGTATATAATGTATTTTTAATCATATATGTCAGTGCTGAGGAAGAGCACAGGCGTGCTTGAAATATTCGAAATAAAAAACCTGTTTTATGTCTATTACGGTATGTCAATATTATATATATATA